TCAAGCAGCGAATAATTAAATAGCTGATAAGTCTAAAGTAAATGAATTAATAGTAACCTAGACAGTTCTACAGTGGAGGTAGAAATACCGCCACATCACCCCCCTGGGAAGACGTTTTATCCCGGGATAAAACGGTCAGGAAGTCTGACTCGTCGGCCATACCTGGTACGCCGCGGGTCAACATTTGGGGGTGGAGATTCTAAGGTTGGCTGCAGTGGCGTTGGCGTCGTCCGTCGCGCTGCAGGGGTGCTGCGCGCGTGGTCGGCTCGTCGTCCACGGGTGCGCTGGTGCAGCGGCGGCTCGAGGCGGGGTGGGGGGATGAAGCGCACCGCGCGGCCGGGGTGGCGTGGCGTAGCTGGCGGGGACGCTGTCCTCCCCTCCTCGGAGGGGTGATGCTGCTCGGTGCTGCAGGGGGTGCGCGGCGCACTGGCTGGCGGCGCGTGTGGTGCTGCCGCTGCTGGTGGGCAGGCAGGGACAGCGTGGGCAGGCGTCAGCAGGGGTGGCCTGGCGGCGTTTGCTTCAGGCTGCTGGGGCTGCCTTTCACTCAGGGGGCGTCCTGGAGCGGTGTCGGTGTGGACGTCTCCGGCCAGCATATAGGCAGGTTTCACTCGGTCAACGGAGACAGTTTCTGTCTTGCCGTGGAGGTCCAGGTCGACTGTTTTGCCTGAGTCGTCCCACTTGATCACTTTGAACGGACCAATGTAGGGCTCCTCGAGAGATCGGCGGACCCTGTCGACTCTGAGCAGTACATGTGAACATTTTGTTAAATCTTTGAAAACAAAGGTGCTAGGATTAGCGTGGCGAGAAGCGAGCGTTGGGCGCAGCTTGCTGAAGTGTTGTCGCAGGCGCGCCAGTAGCTCAGACGGGCTCTCGGTGTCGGCTGCTGGTGCGGCGATCAACTCGCCGGGCAGGCGAAGGGGCTGTCCATAAACGAGCTCGGCCGTGGTTGCTTGGAGGTCTTCTTTAAATGCCGATCGGATTCCGAGCAGCACTAATGGGAGCGACTCGACCCAGTGGATGGTGTCGGCGTGACACATGATGGCGGCTTTCAGCTGTCTGTGTGTCCTTTCGATTATCCCATTGCACATGGGTCGGTAGGCCACAGAGTGGGACAGGTGAATGCCGAATTTCCGAGCCAGTTGCGAGAACAGGTGGGAACGAAACTGGGAACCACGGTCAGTCGTTAGGCGTTCCGGGACACCGAAGCGAGATATCCAGCAGGTTAGAAAGGCAAGGGCGACATTTTCAGCAGTTATGTCCTTGAGTGGGTGCACTTCAGTCCATCTCGTCCATCTGTCCACACATGTTAAACAGTATTTATAACCATGTGAGGGTGGCATCGGACCAATGAGATCGATGTGGACGTGACTGAAGCGTGACGAGGGCGCGGCGAAGTTGCCTAGGGGCGCCGTCACGTGACGTGTAACTTTGGCACGCTGGCAGGGCAGGCAGGCGCGCGTCCACGCGGCGACCTGCTTGTTCATGCCGGGCCAGACATAGCGGGCGGCGACCATTTTGACAGTGGTGCGGACGCTGGGGTGGCTCAGGCCGTGCAGCTGGTCGAAAATTCGTCGGCGCAGTGAGGCTGGGACGAAGGGGCGGGGTCGACCAGTCGAGGCGTCACACTGCAGTCGGGTGTCCGTGCCGGGGATCGATATTGATTCCAGCTGGAGAGACGAGTGGGGGGTAGGCAACCCGCGCAGCTCGTCGTCCTCATCTTGAGCTTGAGACAGCTCTTTGAAGTCAACGCAGGGAAGCGTGATGGCTTCTATCCGGCTCATTGTATCAGCCGGAATATTTTCAGCACCACTGACAAAGCGTATGTCTGTTGTGTACATACTAATGAACGTAATGTGGTTACGCTGAACAGGGCCTATTTTGTCTCTTTTTTGGGTGAACATATAGGTCAAGGGCTTATGGTCAGTGTAAATTGTGAACACTTGACCTTCGAGAGCGTGCTTAAAATGCTGTACACTCTCATAAATAGCCAACAATTCTCTGTGATACGCCGGCCATGTTGACTGGCGTTCAGAAATTTTCTTAGAAAAGAAAGCAAGGGGCTGCCATGCCCCGTTTACAGATTGCATTAACACGCCAGATACGCATTTTAGGGATGCGTCAGTGAATAGAGATAGGCCTGCGCCTTCAACGGGGTAGGCGAGCAGGGTAGCAGACGCAAGGTGTTCCTTGCAGGCACGAAAAGCTTCTTCTCGGGCGGGAGTCCAAGGAAATGGTTTTGACCCTTTCACTGTTGGACCCGCGAGAGCTTCGTGGAGTGGCGCTTGCAACTCGGCCGCGTGGGGCAGAAATCGTCGGTAGAAATTTATCATACCAAGGAAACGTCGTACATCTTTCACAGTTTTTGGGAGTGGGTACGAACGTAGTGCCTCCACGCGCTCTGCAGGGGGTGCAATGCCCTCTGGTGAAATTTTATAACCCAAAAAAGTGAGAGTTGTGGCCTCAAAAGTACACTTGCTAGGGTTGATCACGACACCGTACTGGGATAGTCGTGAGAGCAGAATTCTCAAGTTCTGTCTGTGTTCCTCAGGAGTGCGAGAAAACACTAGTATGTCATCAATATAGCAATAACAAAAATCAAGTCCACGAGTAACTTCGTCCATAAATCTCTGAAAAGTTTGGGCGGCGTTGCGCAAACCGAAAGGCATGAAGGGAAATTCAAATAAGCCAAATGGAGTAGCTACCGCAGTTTTGCAAATGTCCTCTGGATGTACCGGGATTTGTTGATACGCCTTAACTAGATCAATTAGGGCAAAAACTTTGCAACCACTTATATTGTGGGCGAAATCATGAATATGTCGTACCGGGTAGCAGTCTGGGATTGTGCGTGCGTTCAGAGCACGGAAGTCACCGCAAGGACGAACACCGGTACCTCCTTTCTTGGGTACCATGTGCAATCCAGACGACCAAGGGCTGTCAGAAGGACGGGTGGCGCCTTCTTCAAGCATGGCGGCGAACTCGGCTCTAGCAGTGGACAGCCGGTCCGCGTGGAGGCGGCGAGGGCGACACGAACAGGGTGGACCGGGTGTGGTGCGGATATAGTGCACAGTGTTGTGCTTTACTTCTCTAACTCTTCCTGGCGGTCTAGTAATCTCAGGAAAATCAGCCAGCAGGTCGGCGTAGGGCTGTGAGTCACTCACTGCCTTAACGCTACGCTGAGAAACATTGATGGCGTCGGCTTGTGTTTGCAATCCGGTTGTGCCGTCAACAAGCCGTTTTAGCTTGCAATCAGGGAGCAGGTGATAGTGAGCAAGAAAATCGTTACCGATAATTGGCATGCTAACGTCCGCGATAACAAAAGACCACGAAAAGGCTCTGCGTAGGCCAAAGTTTAAGACTTGGGGTAAAAGTCCGTATGTTTTGATATCAGTGCCGTTGGCGGCGCTAAGGACATGATTAGTTGCTTGCAATTTACGACCAGTAAGTAAGCGACGAGGCCAGCAACAGAGATCACTGCCTGTATCGATTAGGTAGGCTTGGCGCGAGGTCTTTTCGGTAACGACTAGGCGGCTCCTGGAGGGTAGGCAACCGGCTGCCGCTACTGTTGGTTGCCGGGGGCGTTTCCCTGGTTGAAGGAGCAGGGGCTCACGCACTTCTGTGCGTTACTGCCATGGCGCGCGTGGTACCAGCACATGCTGCTGTCACCACCGCGGGAGGAGTGGGGGGCGCTTCGAGAGAGGTCTCGAGAGCGAGAGGCACTTCGATTATCTCGAAATCGAGACTGAGAGCGAGAGCGAGACTGGCGGTCATCTCGGCGTTCTCGGGGACTTACAAGACTAGCGATTTGCTGTGGCAATTTTTGGAGAGTTTCAAAAATCAATACGGACACGTCAGGGGAGGGAGGAGGAGGGTTGGTTTTTATGGCCAGCACCGCAGAGGGGATGGCAGGGGCGACCTCAACTATCTTGTCAGCCATAGTGGCGAGTGCATTCAGGTCCAGATTACTGTGGGAGGACAGTATTGCAGATGCAGTAGCAGGCAAGCGCTGCAACCAAATTTGGGAAAGCAGTGCGTCACTCACTGCAGCACTTGAGCCAGCGAGTGAACGCAAGTGCCGTAAAAATTGGGAAGGCTTACGATCACCCATAACTTCGTCAGAGATTAATTTCTGGACACGTTTTTGCTCTGAATCAGACAATCGAGAGATCAAATTATCTTTTAAATTCTTATAGGTACGGTCTCCCATGGGGCCAGTGATGATATCCTCAACCTCAGCTGCAGTGGCTGTGTCTAGCTGACTAACAACATAATGATATTTCTTGGCATCTTGCAAAATATTAAAATTTGTAAAATGGGACTCAGCTTGGGCAAACCACACACTAGGTTTGTCGGCCCAAAACGCAGGAAGTTTCCCACTCACTGATTTGGCGCTGTTTCCAACGGCGGCTTCTAGGGCAGCCTTTGCAGCGTCAGATGCAATCAGCGACTTTTCAATGGCAGTCCGAGCTTCTTCAGATGCATGAAGTTCCTTCTTGATGGCTTCTAGTTCCCTCTTCACTTGAGCAAGTGTCGGTTCAGTCATTTTTTTCTACCTTTTTATTCTTCTATTTTTTTTTTAAATTAAAAGACACAACACAACCTATCCGGCTACTCTTTTTCAAAAAAAAATCACGTCGGGGTCACCAATGTAGGTGTGTTTGGTGTCTTTAAAGAGAATACAACGGGAGAGTAGTAGAACCGTTGGTACAGAAATATTAACTATCTATATTTCCAGATTTGAA